ATATATATGTGTATATATATATATAAATTGGAAGGGTTGTGATTAATTTGCTTGAAATATATATAAAGCGTTTGGTACTGGCAAACAGTAAACGCTTAAATGTTAGCTGCTGCTTGTGAATTATTTTCTCTGTCATGATGACGTTCTGATACCAAATGCCTGAAGACCAAAATGATCTCTCCACAATAGTCTCCACCCACTTTTTCAAGGAACGCTTTTACTGGTTCTCAGGAAGGTAGGTATTACACCCATGGTAACAGAAAAGACACTCTATTTGCTCTTTTACTGTTTCTGGTTAGTGACTGTCTTGTAGCAATCAGAAATTATACCAGGAGAAAATCCGCGCTTCATATGTTCTCTGATATTTAATAAGCATCGTTTTAATGCTCAGACAGTATAGCTGTGTGCAAAAGGTACAAGTCTTCTACTCACCTAAAAAGATCAATGTTATTACCACTAATGTGATTTGAAGCTTAATACATTTATTTAAACAATTTCCCTGTGGTGGTGGTTAGGTGCCCTGGAATCGATTCCCACTCATAGCGACCCCGTGTGACAGAGTACAACCGCTCCATAGGGTTTTCTAGGCTCTAATCTTTATGACAGATGGCCAGGTCTTTCTCTGGCTCTGCCGGCTGGGTTCCAACTGCCAACCTTTAGGTTAGTAATCTTTTATAATTTAGGTCATGCTTGCAAAAAAGGTCATATTCTATTATACTGTTTTGACTGAAAATTAGGAATAATGCCACTAAATAAATATAATCACTACTAACATTTTGGCATATTTCTCTAATCTTATGCAATGCATTTTATTAAGGTTACTGAAACAGTATGTATAAAGTTGTATTCTTTTCCCTTTTTAATGAGCATTTTCCATTTATTACAGGAGGCCTGGTGGCACAGTGGTTAAAGTGTTCGGCTGCTAACCGAAAGGTCAGTGGTTAGACCCCACCAGTCGCTCCGCGGGAGAAAGATGTGGCAGTCTGCTTCTGTAAAGATTACAGTCTTGGAGACCCTATGGGGCAGTTCTACTCTGTCCTGTAGGGTCGCTATGAGTCAGAATCGACTCATCAGCAGTGGGTTTGGGGGTTCCATTTATTAGAAAATTCTTCTTACATATCATTATTAGTTGCATGGTATTTAATAATATGGAGTATATTTACTTAGCTATTCTCTTACTATTGATAAGCATCCTTGCTTATGTATGTGATTGTCTTATAATTTCTGATTCTGTCCTTAGTTTGCATAGGTTGTCAAATTTATTAGCTATTATATTTCTTTTGTGAAGTACCTGCTTATGTCCATTTATCTATAGATGTCTTAGTGCTATTTTTTAGAGAGATTAAACATGTCATATTTTAAGCACTTTCCCAATTTTTCTTATAATCATTTGTATTTTAATGGGAAAATTATTGTAAAGTTTTATGCAATCAATTATTTTTGTTGATAATTGATTTCATAGCTTTTAAGAAATTTGTTTCCACACAAGGAATCCACTTCTGCCCCCCACTCTTTTTAATAGTTTTATATTTAACTCCATAATCTATCTAGAATTAATATTTGTGTATCATGAGAATGTTAAAAAATTCCCCCACCCCACCCTAAATAGCTACTGAAGAATAAACAAAGTTTCACATTTTATTGGACTGTTAGAAGCAGACTCTGCAGAAGGGAGATAATTTGAGTGTCACACATACTAAAAAATACATTAATTTTTTTCTTTATTATTATTTTTTATAGTTAGAGAACGAAGAAGATTAAGGATTTAGCTCTGGGAAGGAAAATAATTTTTACATACCTAAGCAATTTCATTGTGAAATCAGTTGATCTAAGAGGTGTTTCAGAATAAGTACACGTTATCTCCTGTACTATATGTTGTTTTCATATTTATGCAAAATGTGTCTCACAACCCTTCATGTTCATATAAATATAGAGGTTTATGTTTCAGAAAGGTAAAGACAGGCATTGTAGTAAAACAATCCGACATCAAGAGAACCCCTAGTTCCTTAAAATGGATGGCAGAAAAACACAATAGAGAAACCTATTGTGAACGCTAGAGAATGCCTCATCGTTATGGGCAGTCTTAGACTTTGACCTCAGATGAGAAATTAATTAACTGAGGCTCTTGTTTTATTAGTCTACTGCTCCAACAGTGGCTTATACAAACTCCAGAAGACAAACCTTTGAGATTGGGAAGTAAATATAACTTCTATTGCTATTTATTTTTATCTAATCTTTTTAAAAATTTCTTTTAGGATTATATTTAAAACATACATCAGTATAATAGAATATATACATGTATACATATACTGAAACCTGTGAGAGCTGAACTTGATGGGAGTGCCTTGTTTTCCATGTCTCGCAAGTTTTCCACTTTTGACAGGGTGCAGTCTTACCACTTGTCATGGATTGAATTGTGTCCCCCAAAATATCTATCAACTTGGCTGGGTCATGATTCCCAGTATTGTATGATTGTATACCATTTTGTAATCTGATGTGATTTCCTTATGTGTGGTAAATTCAATCACTATGAGTAATAAGATGGATTAGCAGCAGTTATACTGATGAGGTTTACAAGACTGGATAGTGTCTTAAGCCAATCTCTTTTGAGATATAATAGAGAGAAGCTAGCAGAGAGACATGGGAACCTCATACCACCAAGAAAGCAGTGCCGGGAGCAAAGCGTGTCCTTTGGACCTGAGGTTCCTGCACTGAGATGCTCCCAGACCAAGGGAAGACTGATGCATCACAAGAACCTTCCTCCAGAGCCACAGAGAAAGTCTTCTCCTGGAGCTGATGCCCTGAATTTGGTCTTGTAGCCTACTGGACTGTGAGAGAATAAACTTCTCTTTGTTAAAGCCACCCACTTGTGGTATTTCTGTTACAGCAGCACTAGATGACTAAGACACCACTTTTCTAACACTATTAGTGGGAAATATTTTCCTTCTCTGACAAGTTTCTGCCTTATACAGGTTCCAGCTTTCACAGGTTTTACTGTATATGTGTGTGTTTAAAGACCATTGATCCACTTACCTAGATCATATGTTGTTTCCTCACACAGTGCACAGAAGTAATTTACAACGCAGGCCCTAAACAAGTGTCATGGATTGGATTGTGTCCCCAAAAAAATGTGTCAGTTTGGCTGGGCCATGATTCCTGGTATTGTGTGATTTTCCTATATGTTGTAAATCTGCCTCTATGATGTTAATGAGGAAGGATGGGTGGCAGTTGTGTTAGTAAGGCAGGACTCAGTGTACAAGACCGGATTGTGTCCTGAGGCAATCTCTTGAGATGTAAAAGACAGAAGTGAGAAGAGAGACAGCGGGACCTCATACCACCAAGAAAGCCGTGCCAGGAGCACAGCATGTCCTTTGGACCTGGGGTCCCCACGCAGAGAAGTTCCTAGTCTGGGGGAACATTGAAGAGAAGGCCGACAGAGAAAGTCTTCCCCTGAAGCTGACACCCTGAATTTGGACTTTTAGCCTACTTTACTGTAAGGAAATAAACTTTTCTTTGTTAAAGCCATCCACTTGTGGTATTTCTCTTGTAGCAGCACTAGATAACTAAGACAACAAGCAAATGATTTTCTTTCCACTTTCCCTTTAATTATAAGCAGATCCCCTTTATTAAATTCATTTCTGATTTCCTATTTTTTCCTCAAAAAACAGGCTTATTCTGTTTCCACAAAGCTGAATGATTATTACTATTTTGACAAACCTATGTTGTTGTTGTTAACTGCCATCAAGTGGGCCCCAACCATAGTGACCCTAAGTACAACAGAATCAGACTGTTGTGATTCATAGGATTTTCATCAGCTGACTTCTGGATTAGATCTCCAGGCCTTTCTTCCTAGTCTGTTTTAGTCTGGAAGCTCCACTGAAACCTGTTCAGTATCACAGCAACACTTGAGCCTCCAATGACAGACGACTGGTGGCTGTGCTTGAGGTGCACTGGCCAGGAATTAAACCAGGGTCTCTCACATGGGAGGTGAGAATTCTACTACTGAACGACCACTGCCCTCTTGATAACCTATACCATACTTTAATGTAGGTTTTGAAATATCTAAATTTATTCTTTGGATCAGCTGGAGTATATCTCGCGATAATCTAGTATTACCAGAACCTCGGTTGCAAAGCAAACTCCACTTAAGAGAAAAATTTAGGTGTTAAAGTCAAAGATGATAAAGTTTAAGAACTATGGCTTTATTTGTAGAAGCAGTTTCACTTTTGAAAAGCTGGTTGCCCTTGGAAGCATTAGATTTTTTACATGTGGGATGGGAGAAATCAAATAATGTGAACAGCACAGGACGTAAAACTGAGTAGCAAGTATATACATATATATGCACACATACATACATACATACACACACATATTGTCATAGTAAGAGAACACTTCAAAGGACCAGCTACAAATATAACTGCGAATTCTATACTTGTACTTCTCCAGGCTATTCACACAAGGTTTTATACATTAAGTAAATTCTAGTCTTTCATTTGGCATTTAACAGAACATTTAATTTTAAACCTACACAAAACACAGCCCTTAAATAATTGTATAAAATTGTAAATTTGCTTCCTCCCACTGTAAAAACTAGATTACAAAAATAGTTTGAAAAATTGAGAAAAACCAATAACTCCAAAAAAATTACTGCTAGCATTTTACAACACTTCTTTCTAGTGTTGTTTCTGTACTTGAAATCAATTACATACAAGATGTGTGTGTGTGTGTGCATGTGTGTTTGTGTGTATGTCTTACACTTAAGGGCATATAAAAGACAGACATTGTATCACCTAGATTAAGGTGATACAATGCTATTTTTGGCTGCCTTCAAAATGACAACCTTCTTTCCTACATATTTATAAAAAGTTGCCCAGAGGAAAAAAGTCTGTCGTGTAAAATAACAGAAAATGGACTATTTTAATCTACTTACTTGAAAATGTCTTTCAATAATCAGATCCCAAAATTCTTACTTATTGCATTATCCGAAGAAAAACATTTACATCCATTAAATGAAAAAGAAACAGCATACTGATATAAATTATTTTTATTGTGTGAAAATGTTATAATTCATAATCATTAAGAATAAACCTGCAGCATATAACAAAAAAGGCATTTGATTATTAAAACCCACCAGGATTTACAAAACATCTTTTAAAGTATTTTTAGAATAAGGATACAAATTAATTTTATGAGATACTGTATATAAAATATTCTATTTTGTCATATATATAATTTCAAAATCATTGTTATTTATTTTTAATTAAATGGACTTGTAGTAATTACTATATACAGAATAATCATTGGTAGGAAACAAAAATTTTTTTAAAATTATACTTACTCTCAAACTAGATGAATATAAAAAGATGGCAAAAGTATGAGTTTAGTTAAAAAAGTGAATAAATGTAAATGTTACAAAGGAATCAAAAGACATACAAATAATTTTTTCCTCTAAAATTCATTTCAAAATGTGTATCCTGTCTTGTTGTGTTACTTTTCCTCACATTTCAGCCATCTATCAAATTTAGATTGTTATGGATTTTTTTATCTGAAGTAGAATACTTTTTTCCCTCACTCAGTGAGCTAGGTAGGTCACATGTACAACAAAACTCCAAGAAACTTCGTGTATTGCTAACTAGAGTTATAAATGACCTGAGTAATAAAAGTTCAATGAGTTTTAATATGGTGAATAAAATGTGATGCTATCAAGTAATCATATGAAACTGCTTTAGAAGTACTTATTAATGCTATTCTCAGATACCAGTATATGTCGGTTGTTAGTACAAGTTACCAAGATGACCAGTTTTTACAGGGTAGTATAGAAATCATACTCTTCATAGTATTTTCAGCTTGACAAAAAATGTATGCTTTTAGTTAAAGACAGTATTATGCATCTATTACTCAAAATATATATATATATATAAATTTGTCTATATGTTGGACAAACAGAATACTATGGATGTGTTTTTAAGTACAAGAGAATGCTATTAATTTTAAATTAAGAAATTATTTTGGAATTATTTCTTTATAAAATTAATTTTTGAGTATTTATATTCTTATTGCTTCGGTATCCAAGCTACTTCCTGGTTGTAAAATATAAGACAGAATTGGGATGACCTAAGAGTTTCTATAGCTTGTAACATAACAAGGTGGTGACAAAGAGCACTTTGATCTCTGAATTTAAAATAGGTGTTTATGTTTACTGCAATTTTTAGTAATATTTCATATAACATTCTTATTCATTTAAAAAAACATTTAGGTCAAAAAGGTATTTCAAATCTCTTTCATTTATTGAAACAAGAAAACCGTTTAACAACAACAAAAATAAAATTGAACTCTATCCTTTGGAAGTGCTTTCAAATAACATAATTTGGTAGAATAAAGATCAGAAAATCTACTATTTAAAAAAGCTAATATTTTAAAATTAGGTCAAATTAGGATGTACACTTCAAGAACAATACTACAAGCCATAAATATATCCTGTTCACATAGTCAACGGCTGTCAAGTAAATCAATTCTATTTTCCAGACACAATTTTAAAAAAAGCATCTATAGAAAAGTACACAATCAATATCATAGTAATTAAAACTTTTAAATACAAGTTTTAGAAAAATATAAAAATAGTTAAAAATTTTAGGTTATAAATTCACAAGAGCTTCCCTTACATGCACATGTATCTTACAAAAAAAGGTCTAATATGTAGAAACAGAGGCTATTAAACAAATAGTAAAGAAAATGTGGCATCCATCAGCTCTTTTTCTGAAGAGATCTTCCTTCAGGAATATGCTCGTGAGTGGGGATGTGTAAACCAGAGTCAACACTACATCTTGCTAACTTGGTCCAAATGCTTATCCCTTATACTGGTCATTTAACTTCCTTTCTTTTTTAACCATGAAGAACACGGATGAGTAATTATCAGATAACTTAGGTCTGTGGCTGGTAGTCTTAATCTCCCCACTAAAATCGCTGTGGTTATCTTGCCAGTCATCAATGCTCAGGGTTTTTCTTCTTCGAGAAAGAAGAATGCCTTCCACTTTGTCGTGCTGATATAAAGAGAGCTCATCCACATTAACTTGGTTATGAGATCACATCATGGTCATCACTGTTAGGTTTCTGCCGTACAACCAGAGGAGGCAGTGGCTTCCCATAGAAATCTACATAAAGAAGGGAAATCAGCATGCAAAACAGTTACGATAAATTCAGATTTTTGACACAATTCATTATTTTCCAATCAACATCTTTAAAAAATTATGACACTCTGACTTGGCAGGTGAGGCGGTAAGTGGAGAGAAAAGGAAAAAAAGTTAAGAATAGAAAATACAAAAAAATTTAAAACACTACTACTAAATTCCTAACTCTAGATTAGAAATTAATCTCTACATAACTTAATAAAAAGCTGCACCAAATGGATATATTTGTTGTTAAATATTTTTGTTTTCCAATTACACATTCACATTAGAACAATTAACAAATATTCAAAACCCAAAGAACCTGTTCCAAAAGCCCTGATAAGTCAGGATTTTTACAATCCATGTTCTTATCTAATGCCTATTACTCTCTAGATACTTTGGGAGAAGCATTAATGAATTATTCCATTAATTAGGAATTAGGAATGTTTTACAAAGATGCTTCAATATAGTTTGGTGATTTGGGGCATATTCAATATTAAAAACAAAAAAGTCTTATTTTGTACTTCATAAATTCTTATTCCTTAATTATCATACATTGGATTATAAATGTAATGGCCTATGTTAGCTTATAGTAGGTAATTACTTTCTGGACTATGTATTACCTTAAATTTACTCTAGAGGCAAAGATGCTTAGGATCACTTGAAATAAATATGGAGCACTAGCGGCACAGTGGTTAAGAGCTTTAGGAGCTCGCTGCTAACGAAAAGGCCAGCAGTTCAAATTCACCAGCTGCTCCTTGGAAACGCTATGGGGCCATTCTATTCTGTCCTATAGGGTCACTACGAGTCAGAATTGACTTGATGGCAATGGGTTTGGTTTTTTTTTTTTATGCACAAAACAGGGATAGCATCATCCATTCTCACAAGATTACTGGGAGAATTAAAATGAAATAATGTACACAAGTGCTTAGCTATATTCCAGGCACATGGTATATGCATTTATTATTACTGTTATATTTTTAAAAATAATAGAAATAATTATTTTGATAAATTTGAAGTATACTTTTTCTAATTTCTTAAATTCAAAATTAATGAGAATTTTAATACATAATAGAACTCACAATTAAACCACAGATGAATATAATTTTTTCTGTTGTTTTTACTTCTAGAAATTAAAAATACCCTCCTAAAAGATAAATCAATATACTCGGCAATAAGCGTCCTTTGTCCCCTGCTACAGAATTAGTTTATTTCTACAGAAGATTCTGTATTATTTATTTGCCAGAAGATTAAATTGTTCTACACAAAGTAGGTTTCTCATTGCCTTAATTGTAGTGCATACAAGTCAATCTTAGTGCCCAACTGAAATGACCAACTACATTGCCAACACACATTTCAATAACGGGCTTCAAACTATTTTAACATGAAAAATTGAAAAACAGTAAAACTACACACAAAATCTTATCTTTCTTTATACTAAGATTTGAAAATATTTTTTAGTTTGGTATTATGACTAACAGAATCTTTGTTTCTCATAAGGTGTAATACCTGTTACTGTCTAGTCGATTCTGACTCATAGTGACCCTATAGGACACAGTAGAACTGCCCCATAGGGTTTCCAAGGCTGTAATCTTTATGGAAGCAGACTGTCCGATTTTTTTCCTGCAGAGTGGCTGGTGGGTTGGAACAGCCAACCTTTCGGTTAGCAGCTGAGCGCTTTAACCACTGTGCCATCAGGGCTCCTTATAATGTAAATATATAATACACAACATGTTGATAAAGTATGAACTGAGAGTGTTAAAGTGAATATGGATTCTTAAGTCTGTTCTCTGAGTGCATCCGTCTTGCCTATTATATTGAGCAAGTTTTGCAGGCAATAAAAACAATTAGAAAAATAGAATAGAACTGCTATCAAGGCAAAATACCTATAACCAAAGAACAAGTAACAATCTACCTTAAAAATTTCCAATCTGACCACAGCAAATTATTTTTCATTTCAGTAAATTTTAAGTGCCAAAGCAATTACAGTCAATTTGTAATTATCTACTTTAGTTCATCATGTATCTGTTGTCTACTAACCATCAACCTTTTGTCAAGATGCTGCTGTTTTAAAGGCAAAAAAGTATGGATAAATTTAGGGAAGAGAAGAGGATCAGCATCTCTGATGAAGATCTCATAAAAACAGTAAAAACTAATGCAAGCTTTTTGTATTAAAAAATAATAATAATTGATCATACCTGCTTTCTTCTCCATTAATGAAAGCAGAATTGACTGCACATTTTGGAAACACAGGTTAAATATACTTTAATTATTAGAATTTATGGGGAAAAATAACAAAGATATTTTAAACTTGTGTACTTATGATGTTTTCCTCTCTGCCTTGAGAAGATAAAATTTACTGCTCTACAATGGAAATTAAATGAAATACTGGATATGTACTTAAATGGAAATAATTTATTATAATTATTTCCCAGGAGTTCTAACTTAAAAAAACAAACACAGAAAAGCAAACAACAACAAAATAACCCAAAATCTTCTCAGCCGACTTTCAACCTCTTTTTCCACTTGCCCCTTAACTATAATGCATTCCTGGATGCTACCATGAGTTCTTTTCTTCTTATTCTGCATTCTTTCCCTCAAAAACAGCAAACTATCACTTCCTTGACTCCTACACACCCTCCCAGCCACCCACCTGAGCCTTTTTTTAGTCCTGAGCTCCAGATTCTTACTTGTACCTGCCTTACTTGTACACATTTCCAAACAGATAAGCCTACAGACACCACTATATGTCTCCAAAACAAGTTTCCTTCCTCCTCATGTATTTTCAGTCTTAGAGATAGCACCAACAATCCAGTCCTTGTAAGCCAAATTATCTTCTATTCCTCTCTCCCTCGACCCACACATCCCTTCATAAATTTTATTTACTATAATTGTTAAAATATTTCTTGAATACATTTTTTACTCTACATTCTAATTTCCATTCCTCACTCCTCACTTTGACTACTGCAACAGCCACAAAACCAGGATCCTTACTTACCTCGGGTAGCCACCATCCAGTCTGTACTTTACATCACGACCAAAGTTATTTTCCTAAGTAACTAATCAAATACTACTACTTCCCTGCTAAAAATGCAGAGTATGTCTTAAAAAATTATAACAAGTCCAGACATCTTAACATATACGCCAGGCCCTTCACAATCTGGCCCGAAGGCACAATTCCAGTTTCAATGCTCTCTTATAACTTTAAAGTTCCTCTTTCTTACCCTCTCTTCCCATATGAACCTAAGGTCTAGTCATGAATAAATTCATGTTATTCTCCAAATAAGAAATGTCTTTCCTCTCTCTACCTTTGAACAGTCTGTTTCTTCCACCTACTGCCTATTCTCATTCTTCCAAGACCCAGTTCTACTGACCCTTTCTCTGATCCCCCATGTGTTTGTACACAGTACTCCAACTCTACACCACAGAACCTATTACTGTATACTGTGAATTGTCATGTATACTGTAGTTAGCTGAATTAGCGTCTTCTCTGTTAGACTAGTATCTCCACGAAGGCAGAATGCATGCCTTATTCATCTTGATATTACCAATGTTTTAGCTGCTGCCTAAGACAAAATAGTTGCTTGTTGAATGCTGAATTAAGTAAGAGAAAGAAATAATACACATGGTATACACATACACACATATTAACATGACTTAATTTTTTACAACATGGTAAATATTTAAACTAAAAATGTATTCTAACACATACAAGTGTACTCAGAGTGGTATAAGACAAGAACTATTCTCTACTGTAGTCAATAAAAACATCATGATGGAAAGATAGTAAACAAAACAGAAATATGTGATTTCACTGGAAATAACCATTTCGGAAATTCTGATATAGTCTAAGGACAAACTTATCTATCTTTAGAAATGAAAAAAAAAAATCCTTCATTTTCACTAATGATTATGAGGATATATTTCATCACTGACTTACAGTATTCTGAAAAACAAAGCAAATATCACATTTATATTATGCACTTCTTGAATAAAAAAATATTTTATACAGTTTGATATAACTTCAAATAATCTAAAGATTAAATTTCAGACTTTTTAATCTAATAACTGGATCTCCTTAGGAAACAAGCTCTAGATTAAGTAAACACAGAGCCATCAAAAGGGAACTGGACTTTCTCGATGAATAAGTTTATTGAGCTACATTTACATATAATTATATATACTGGCTGGACTATGGCTAATGTTATCTTCATTTAAAGAAAATTGTTTACTTGAGTCAATTAAGTCTTTAGTAACTTCCTTTCTATCACTATCTATTCTATTTAGCTGAACTTTATTTGGTTTACTGATTTGATCTCTGATTCTACAAATTTTGTTGATTTTTGCTTCATTTTAATACTTAACATCTGAGTATCTTATGTGTCGGAATCAACTTGACACAATGGGTTTGGTTTGGTTTGGTTTTGGTACCTGAGTATCTTACCAGGAGCAGAGAAAATAATAATTATGTGGTATTATCATTGAGTCTATTGAGAATATGTAGGACACTGCAGTTTTTCAACACTATAATTGTAATGTCTCATATTTAATTTAAACTGCTGAAAACCTTCTCCCTTTTCATAATTATCTGCATAAATGTTTAATAAACATAAGCTATGATTATTTTTACTTCTGTATTTTAAGATAAACATCAAATCAAATTGTATGGACACAAAATGCACTTAAGAATAAAAAAGTAAATAAAATGAAAAAAAAAAATTAAGTAATGAAAAAGGATTTGTGAATTGCAAAGGTTTCCAAAAATAAAACACAAGTTAAAATTATGAGGTAAAGAAAAGTGGATGTAAAGATGTACAGATGATATCTGAAAACTAATGCTTTTGCATTACCATTATGACGTGTTTCACCAGGAGGCTCAAGTTTTGGAAGTCTAGTGACTTTGGGGGTGCCCCAGCCAACTAGAAAAAACAAAACATTTAAAACATGTTAAACAATGTGTCTTTATGTCTGTTGAAAGGATCCCTCCCTTGACAGGAAGTACATACAACATTTGATGTTAATTCAGATATACTGAAGGACACAGTTCTGAATAGCCATAAGCTCATTTGAAATGTCTTGTATAGGCTGCTAACATCTGCTTCAAATTTTTATTCACATTTAACTAAAAATATAACAACCCTTAAGTTAGGTTACTGTTCTAACCCCTAGCAGAGACTAAAAGAAATGTTTTATTATCAAATTGAATACTATAAATAAGTCTAGAAAAACTCTCAAAGGAAAATTTTACTATCTTAAGCCATCACTGAAGGGTGACAATGGCATTACAGTCATTCAGTCATCAGACACTTACCAAGCACCAACAGTACATGAGGTATTATGCTTTGTGCTGAAAAAAAGAACTCGTAAGTACTATGCAGCTAAAATGTCCCAGTTCTTTACAGGCACTACTCTATTTAATCCTCAGAAATTTAGAAAGTGAGTATGTACATTAGAAATATAATGGAAAAATTCACACACCTTGGTTTCAAATGTTAACTTTCACGATGAAAGATTCACCAATCCATCAAATTTAATTTTTTTTTTAGCAATCTGGGTACTGATCTTTCATACAGAATCTGAACACATCCTAGGAAGTGCTTGGGTAAAGTTTTCTTATTAGTTTTTACTTAATTTTTGCTTTTATATGACTTTTTTTCTGATTAAAAAAAGCAACAGATATGTCTGTTGATAAATTTTGGACAAAGTAGACAGAGTGAAGAATTCTTTGAACATACCTTTTTCAAAAATTCACAAAGAAAGTAGTATACTGAATAAAAACTACGCAACTTTCCTTCCTTTTCTTTTTGTCTCCATTGTTTAAACCAGTATTTCCAAATTCGATATCACTGTAAATGTACTCACCAGGAGGAGGTGGAGGAGGTGGTGTTGCATTCTTAGGAGCAGCGTCATCTGTGTTTACTGGCTCCACCCGGTGACTCCTTTTTATTCTTAGTTTTTTAGTTTTCTTTTTACTGTTATCTACAAGAATACAAATGTGGAAGTTTATACCTTGGGTAAGAGAGGATTTCTATACTATAATTAAAAAAAAAAAAGAACACAACTAAAATATGGTATAATTATTACCATAGAAACATATCTTCTATCCAAATTCAGAAACTGTTACCAATAACCAGATTTGAACTTGTTTAAACTAAGAATCCATTTTTTAAGTAATTGCTTATTGAATGAATAAAAACAAATGAAAATGATACAAACAACAAAAATCCTATATTTTAAATTCTAAGAAAAATTATTCAGAATTTAAAAAAAAGCTCATCAAAAATAACTTATATTTGTTGCCTAGTGTCATGTTGTTGTTAGTTGTCGCTGAGTCGATTCTGACTCATGGCAACCCCACGTGTGCAGAGTACAACTGCTCCACAGGGTTTTCAAGGCTGTGACTTTTTGAAAGCAGATCTCCAGGCCTGTCCTCCCAGGTGTCACTGAGTAGGTTCGAATCGCCAACCTTTAGGCTAGTAGTTGAGCGTTTAACCATTTGTGCCACCTAGGGACTCCTTCCTAGTGTCATACTAAGCAGATATAGTTGTCTAATAGCAGGCGTTTCCATAAAACTCAGAATGGGCTGTGGAAGGAGAGCTGTTACATCACAGTCAAATCATTTTGCTCTTCAACAATGTATTAGTGTCAGAAAGTCTTTTCAAGAAATCGAGAAGCCACTGTAATAAGTCTATCTTCTGTTTACCTCTGTTGACAGAGCTATGTTGCTGTTATTAGGTGCCAGTGACTCGGTTCCATCTTACAGCAACCCTATGTACAACAGAGTGAAATACTGCCCAGTCCTGTGCTATCCTCACAATCACTGCTATGTTTGAGCCCACTGTTGCAACCACTGTGTCAATCCACATCGTCGAGGGTCTTCATCTTTGCGCTGACCCTCTACTTTACCAAGCATGATGTCCTTCTCCAGGGACTGGTCCCTCCTTATATCATGTCCCAAGTATGTGAGACAAAGTCGCTTCAAAGGAGCATTCTGGCTGTACTTCTTCCAAGACAGATTTGTTTGTTCTTCTGGCAGTCCATGGGATAGTCAACATTCTTTGCCAACACCACAATTCAAAGGCTTCAATTCTTCTTCAGCCTTCCCTATTCACTGTCCAGCTTTCACATGCGAGGCACTGAAAACACACGGCTTGGGTCAGGTGCACCTTCAAGTGATCCTTAAAGTGATCTTTGCTTTTTAAAACTTTAAAGAGGTCTTTTGCGGCAGATTTGCACAATGCAATGCGTCATTTGATTTCTTGACTGCTGCTTCCATGGGTGTTGACTGTAGATCCAAGTAAAATGAAATCCTTTACAACTTCAATCTTTTCTCCATTTATCATGATGTTGCTTATTGGTTGTAAGGATTTTTGCTTTCTTTATGTTAAGGTGTAATCCATACTGAAGGCTATGGTCTTTGATCTTCATCAGTAAGTGCTTCAAGTCCTCTTCACTTTCATCAAGGAAGGTTGTGTCATCAGCAAACCTCAGGTTGTTAATGACTCTTCCTTCAATCCTGATGCCACATTCTTCTTCATATAGTCCAGCTTCTTGGATTACTTGCTCAGCATACAGACTGAATAAGTATGGTGAAAGGATACAACCCTAACTAGGCACACCTTTCCTGATTTTAAACCATGCAGTATCCCCTTATTCTGTTTGAACGACTGCCTCTTGGTCTGTGTACAGATTCCTCATGAGCACAATTAAGTTTCTAGAATTCCCATTCTTTGCAATGTTATCCATAATTTGTTATGATTCACACAGCTGAATGCCTTTGCATAGTCAATAAAACACAGGTAAACATCCTTCTGGTATTCTATGCTTTCAGCCAAAATCCATCCGACATTAGCAATGATATGTCTCACTCCATGTCCTCTTCTGAATCTGGCTTGAATTTCTGGTAGTTCCCTGTTGATGTGAATTTCCCAATGGACAAAAAGTTTAACTTTTAAATCTAATATTATTCATCCAGAAAAATGTCCATGTTAGATAATCTGCACTTCAGGGACTGAGATCTTACCTCCCATAAATGCTGCGACCCTGTACAAAAAATTCTTATGTTCAATTCAACCATATCACCAAGTAGCAATGGCAAGGAAGTGGCAATTATTGTGCATTTTCCATGCGTCAGGCACAGTGCTAGGAACATTGCAGGGTTATTTTATATAAATCCCCCTCAATTTAGAGATAAGAAAGCTAGGACTGAACAAGGTTACATAATAACATGGTGCAGTGGTTAAAGCACTAGGCTGCTAACCAAAAGGTTGGTGATTCAAATCCACTGGCTACTCCCAGGGAGAAAAATGTAGCATTCTGCTTCCGTAAAAATTTACAGCCTTGGAAACCATATGGGGCAGTTCTACTTTGTCATATAGGGTCACTATGAGTCAGAATCAACTCAATGGCAATGGGTTTGAGTTTTGGTTTAGTAAATGGGAGAGTTAGGATTCTATCACAGGTTGCCTGAATAATGCAGGCTGTCTCTCCATGACATCAAAGACCTGAACTTCCTGTTAAATCACACTACCAGTTAGGAAAGGCAATTACTGTTCTGGATTGAATTGTGTCCCCCCGAAATATGTGTTGTAAATCCTAACCCCTATATCTGTGGTTACAATCCCATATGGGAGTGGGTTTTCTATGTTGTGTTAAAGAGGCAATATTAGTGTAGGGTGTGTTGTGAATCAATCTCTTTTGAGATATGAGAGCAGATTACACAAGGAAGCAAAAAAGTACACATTAGGGAAGACAGATGCCACACCACATGAGATCTGCAAGGAATCACAAAACAGAAGCTGAAAAGAGACAAGGACCTTCCCACAAAGCCAACAGAGAGGCAAAGCTTTCCCCTGGAGCCAGTGCCCTGAAGTCAAACGTCTAGCCTCCTAAACTGTGAGAAAATGTGTTTGTTTAAGCCACTTACTTGTGGTATTTCTATTATAGCAGCACTAGATAACTAACACAATTACCAATTAGATTTTGTATGATATTAAAATAAGAGGAAAAATGGATATTGGACAAGACATTTTAAAAGTTTCGTGTTTGCATCCTATTGAAATAGTCAATTAAAAAAGAGGCTAATTGTAGTATTATGGGCTTTAAAAAAAAATCTAAAGGTATTAAACACATTTCCAAGAATTCTTGGATACACTGTGTTCTAAATTTATGAAAATAAAATTGAAAAGGGAACTTTTTACTGAAATCCTTTTAAGTTACAAAGCCATCATGATTAAAAACATTAAGTTAGGAGCAAATTGGCTAATAATAAAAACCATGGAAAAGTCATGATGAATACTATATTTGAAGACAAAATATAATATAGTACATCTTTTTGTGAAAATAATTATAATAAAAGAAATACAAATAAGTCATATATTTTAAATAACTAGATTTAACACCTGATTCTGAAGATTGCTGGTCTGTCTCATCTTCATTCTCCAACTGCTGAGTTAATGCTTCCTTGTAATTTTCTACTATTCCAAACTCATTGTTTTTTCGGCTACTGTCACTGATCTGGCTCTGGGTCTCTATTTGTTCATGCTCCATTTTATGTTTCAGGGGGCAGCCATCGCTGTCTTTCTCCATCTTCTGCCTCTTTTTCTCTTTTTCAAGTTTTTTTTCATTCTAACAAAAATGAAGTATATTATTTTACTACAATGGTTGTTATCTAAGATAGTTTCAAAGGGGAAATCAAATAATCCACCCAAGAGCATTCTGTAACTTAAAGGACACTGTGATACATCTATTAAAAATTACTTGTTGAACATATCACTAAAACATGTAATTGCCAAACATTTAGAAAATACAGAAAGTATAAAAAAAGAAAACAAATATTATCAGTAACGTCTCATTCTGGAGATGATCACTATTTGCCGTATAATCACTAAGAGTTCTTTTTCTCTGCCTACCCCCACACACATACAGACATACACTACCCACAAACACACATGAATGTGCAACTGTCTCTCTATACATACATGTTTACACATTTGTTTTTTAACCAAAAAAATTGAAATTTTTATTTAAGAATATATATTTCTTTCAATGTCAATGAATACTAAATGCTTAGGATAGTGTCTGACACAAAATAAATGCAATTACATTATCATCTGAATAGTTATAGCATAACTTATTTTACCAATTTCCTACAAATGAACAAAGAAGTTATTTCTAATTTTTCACTATTATAAAAAAATGCATTTGGCCTATTAATGCTTTAGGATAAATTCCTAACAGTAGAATTGTTGCATCAATAAGCACACTATAAAATGTGATATGCATTCATAAACTTCACTTTAGAAAGACTGAATCAATTTACACCCCAGCCAAAGGGTTAGGGGAGTGGTGTTTCCCTACATCTTTTTCAATGTTGCATATAACTATTAATTTTTTTAATCTCTGTCAAGCTTATAAATATTTTTATCTGTTGTTTTGATTTCATCGGATTTGATTTAAATGTCTTTATTATTAGTGAGGTTGAACTATCATTATATATGCCTACTGCCATTTTTCCTTCTTCTTCTTCTTTGGGGAACCTAATGTCCGTATTTCTATTAAATTCTCATATTTATAGTAACCAGTAAAGGCTCTTTGTTTGTCTTCTGTGTCTTAAATATTTTCCCTATTTATTTATTTTTGCTTTTTAACTTTATAGAACAGCTTCTTAAAATTTGAATAGAGTAAGATCTATCCATTATTCATTATAATTTATGCCTTGATTGTCCTGCTTTGAAAATTTTCTCTCCTCCAGACATACATAAATATTTAACCAAATATATAACTATATTATCTACTAGTATTTTTAAGATTTTTTTTAATATCTAAATCCTTAATACTTCTGAAATTTAATTTGACATACAGTTTTCAATAATTTTGCTTTTTTCCAAATGGTTGTTTAGTTGTTCCAACATGTTTTGCTTATTTGAAATGTCATCTTTATCATCTTATAAATGCTCATACATAATTAGGTTTACTTCTATTTGTTCCATTGATCTGTGTGTCTATTTTGGAACTAATACCATACTATTTGAATTATCTCTGGTAAAATAAAAGGAATGCTAGGTGCTTCTATAAAATGCAAAAATTGTAAAGGAGAAATTTTCTACAGAAAAAAGAAGAAAATTATGCAAGGTAATGAAGGAAGCTATTAGCAATTTATTTTCATTTCTTTACTGACCAATCTTCTTAAAATTACTTTTTGTTAAAAACATATCAACTGTACTTTCCCATGCTACTAATTAATTTACAGACTTTCTATATATGGTATATTATGCTGTACAGCAGTATTGTTCACTTATCCTTTATACAGTGAAATATACAACTTTAGGAGAAGGATTAGGGTCTTCTAATTAATCTATACCCATGCTATTCTATAATAACTGGTCATTATTACCAGGTCAGCTTTATTATAAACAGAGTAATGTTACAATGTGAAAAGTAAAACTTGTTTTTCTTCTTCTCTACCAATATGTTTAAAAGAATATAAAACAAAATTCAACAAATACTTGATAGGATGGGTAAAAACAATAGCTCATTCCATTAAGATAGCTTTATTGTAGTTAGAAAAGCACATAGTTAAGGCAAACATAACTGTGTTAATAGAAGATGTAATATAAACAATTTTTGAGTATTGGAGCAACTTAAGACAAAATATCTCATAATACCAATTATTTTGTAAAATGAAATGATACCACAAATATACAACCATCTTCTCACCTGTGGAGCTGCTTCCCTTCTCAGCAGCAGCCCCAAGGAGGAAACAATCATCCACCTTTCCAGATGAGCACCTGTATGTAAGGAGGCAGTGACTGGGCACTAGGAATGGAGAACAACGGGCAGGAACAGCAAGCCAGCCTCCACATTCAGCTCTGAGTGAATGGAGAGGAGGTTTGGGAAACACTGCCTCCGAGGAGGCACAGCTGCTGACTGTCAGGAAATCAGGGCTAATACCTAAACTCTATACACCAACAGACATTGAAAAGAAAGACACAGAAACACAGACACAGGCATACAAACACAAGCTCACCCCTACAACTTAACTTCTTCAAAATTATAATCTACAAATTAATTTCGGTAAATATAGGACAACTAAAAACAAATGTTATTTAGATACAGGAGAATTTACAATTTTTTTTAACATTATTAAGTATCATGATTAAGTATATACGGTAATGCTTCATCAACACCTAAACATTACTGCAAAGGGATAGCAACAGCAATACAGGGTCAAGGATCCTGTAAATAATGGTAAATGTATTACCATCATGTGAAATAAATGATAAAAAAGATTTATCAGAAGAGTAACTATATAACTGCTACGTTCTATCTTCATATTCATTCTCATTTAATATTTAAGTCATCTTTCCATTTTTACACTAGAACAAAAGGTAAGTTTGAAGAGGAACAAAAGCAATAAACCTACAACTCATCTCCCACATTTAACTTCTTTCAGAAATAATCTCTGATGAAACTCTTCTATTACTCAGTCTCCTTTTCCCAACTACATGCCTCCTTTCCCAACTTCCAACTTTATAATTTAAGATATAAAAATTGCATTTGCCACCAACCATACCTCAATGATCACAGATGCTATTGGCTGGAAAGGATTAACAGTAATTGGTTCTGGGTCCAACTCAGTGAGACCACTGTTTCCATCCAGTTCAGCCTGATCGCGTTCTCTTTCTTCTCTATTGATTGAAGAAAAAACAATTTGAATTCCTCATGAGAAAGCACCAACCCATGTTTAAGAAAACTTTCAGTAAGTTTACAGCTATTAAACTTTGTAATTTAAACATCTGAACATGGCTTTTAATTACTATTTTAGGAATTCTTATGTAACTATAAACCTTTACCCCCATGTAAAGACTAACAATCTGAATTTTAAAAGAAAGACATAATGACAAAAATGACATTTCCCATTACCGACTTTTTTATGTCAACAGTTGATGTTAATTATTTTGCCACATACCATGAGTTTATCTTTATTAATTACCCTCCAAAATCAGTGCCGTCTCTCCACTGGTGCTGATATAAATAAATTCTCTTGTTAACGATGTTCTTTAGGGCTGTGTCTTCTCGTGAAAAGTACACTTGGGAGAACATCTTTTTAATCCAATCTATGTTTTTTATTTATACACAAGCATGTTCAAAAGCATATTTCTTGTTTATTATACAAAAATAGTGGAGTAGCAGCATCTACAGATTGATCATATAGAAGTATATGACAAAACACTAATATAAAGTGAAATACTTTATCAAGTTATGTATCATATTTTAATTAGATAACAACTGTGGCATTTCATTTTCTTTCTTTTTTTTGGCGGGGGGGGGGGCAACCTCCAAATCTCCTACATTCATACGTTGTACATTCTATGTTCTGATTATTAGCAGATGAAATGGAACACAAATAGATCGATATCCTAGGCATTAGTGAGCTAAAATGGACTGGTATTATTAGGCAAATCTGCTGCAAAAGACCTTTTTAAAGTAAGTGTTAAAAAGAAAAGATTTTACTTTGAGGACTAAGGGGCACCTGATGAAAGCCATGGTATTTTTAATCACCTCATATGTATGCGAAAGTTGGACAATGAATAAGGAGGGGCAAGTGTTTCAAAGCTCTTTAGCTATACCAGTAAGTGCTCAGAAGCACCCCACTCCGCAAGGAACATTTCTGCCTGAAGGCACTCAGCTCTCTTGCTCTGTGGGTTGGCTCCCACATGCCGGTCTCCTGGTTCTGCTGCCATTTCTCTGGGGCTGCTTCTCACTGTCTGTGTCATCTCTGGTGTTACAGCTTTCCTCACTTCCGAGTCCTCACCAGAATTGTCTTTGATCTCCATAATTCCACCAACAGTCTCTTCAAGGCAATCTAGGCTTTTACTATCAGGCATTTTAAAACTCTTCCAGCCTCTACCCATTCACTTTCAAAACTGCATCTACATTTTAGATATCTGTTAAAGCAGCACCCCACTCCTGGTACCAAATACTGTCTTAGTTATCTGGTGCTGCTGTAACAGAAATACCACAAGTGAATGGTTTTAACAAATAGAAATTTATTCTCTCAAAGTCTAGGAGGCTAGCAGTCTGAATTCAGGGTGCCCACTCCAGGGAAAGTCTTTCTCTCTCTGTTGGCTCTGGGGGAAGGTCCTTGTCATCAATCTTCCCCTTGTCTAGAAGCATCTCAGCACCGGGACACTGGGTCCAAAGGACGTGATCTGCTCTTGACACTTCTTTCTTGGTGGTATGAGGTCCCCTTCTTCTATGCTTTTTTCTCTCTTTTATATCTCAAAAGAGACTGACTCAAGATACAATCTAATCCTGTAGATTAAGTCCTGCTTCACTTACATAACTGCCTCTAATCCTGCCTCATTAATATTATAGAGGTTAGGAATTATAACACATAGGATAATCACATCAGATCACAAAATGGTGGACAGCTACACAATACTCAGAATCATGGCCTGGCCAAGCTGACACACATTTCTGGGGGGCATAGTTCAATCTATAATAGGTTGGGACTGGGCAGTGTTTCGTTCTGTTGTACATATGGTCACTATGAGTTGGAACTCACTCGACAGCACCTAACAAAAACGACAGTAACAATATACTTCTTACAAATCAGCAGTAGCACGTTATAATGTTTTTCAAAAACAATGGAGATGAATATATAAACCAATCAGATTGGATTTAAGAAATTAAATATACTTTTGATTATGGAGACTCTGTTCCACAGCGGGAGCCCTCATGGCACAGTGGTTAAGAGCTTTTCTGCTAATCAAAAGGTTAGCAGTACGAATCCAACAGCTGCTCCTTGGAAACCCTAAGGGGCAGTTCTATTCTGTCCGATAGGGATGCTATGAGTCAGAATCGACTCAATGGCAATGGGTTTGCTTTGGTTTTGGTTTATTCAACAGTACAGGCCTCAGACCATGACTGGCATGGCTAAGAAGAAAAGAAGAAATGGTCACAGGAAAAATAAGCCATATAACGATCTAGAATATCTTTATGTAAAAAGCAAAAAAACTTAAAAAAAAAAAAAAAGAATAACATTAGATGGACTGCAACTCCAGTCGTACAGGAGCTCACTTAAAAAGCCTTCCCTGGACCCCCACCACCCCTCACTATATAATAATCCAGTAGAAAAAGAAATTCTGGGATTCTCTTATAAAATTAAATTTCTTTTCAAATCTTAGCACATTCATTTAGCTTAAATGTCTTCGTTCAGGTAACATATTTTGAAAAACCTGATACAGTACAACTTAGTCTATTCTCTGACAAAACTAGTGAAAATCAGATTTTGCTTAAGTTGATTCTTAACTCTGGTAAAATTTGTGTAAACATTATATTTAAAAAAATTAAAGTTTGGTAAATTTAGTTTAAAGGTTTTCTTTCAGGCACCTTATTTCTCTGTTGTGGGGAACTGTCCTTGCAACCTAGGATGTTTAGGAGCATCCTATTAGATACTAGAAACACCCTCTAACTCCTAGCTGTGACAACTAAAAATATCTCCAGATATTGCCAAATGTCCACTAGGGGACAAAATCGCCCTGTGGGTTGAGAATCACTGAACTAAAGATACTCATAAGAAATCAGAGATATAATTCAAAAAATTCTGAGAAATAATAAATATATAAGGAGTAAATTTAACTACTGTAACACTACCAGAAACTTAGAAATGTATAACCCAAATTTACCCAGAGAAAAATCTACTGAAAGAACAGAAATATCTACTTAGTGTCTTCTTTCATACATAAAAAGGAAACTGGACATATAAAATAATTTATTCATAAAACGGTGGTATTTTGGGACTCTTCAAATGCATCGTGCTACAAATTTAATCGACTTACCTTTCTTCTCGTAATTTTCGCACTCGTTCAGCCCTTTCTCTTTTCTCTTGCTCCTCAAGAGCACGTTGTTCTGTTGTATCTTTTTGGATGCGTTCATTTAAGGCATCAAAGTCTCTTGCAATGATATGTAGCAGCCAATAAAGACCTTTTTTAATGGACTTGTCAATTTTCTTTCCATACCCCAAGACTGCCGAACAAGGTTCCTGAAACACAGGAACTGATTTGACTCAAAGATTAAAACTAAAAGCTCTTCACACAAATCTATCCATATAGCATTAAGGATAATTACTAGCAGAGCAAATTAATCCATTTATATTAATGATATGGAGCACCTGTTTATTTAACTTACAAAATACACTTCTGCAATAATCACTAACATTAATACACAGGAGTTGAAATATTTTACGGATAATATCTATAAGCTACAGGAAATATCATGACAATAAGTCTATAGTGTCATTTATGATTTTAAATAAGCCGGAAAATGAAATTGAACTGCTAGAAAAAAAAATATCCTTACTTATAAAAATACCAGGAAGATTTAACTCCTTACACCAGGGAATTTAGAGCAGTAAACATCCACTAAGATTGACAGCTTAATGATTATTTTAAGATACCAGAATAAATGATTAAATCCTCTCTGTTCATTTTTCTTAAGGCTGTATTATATAACTCGCCTGATACGATTGTTCAAAACTCATTATAAAATTCTTAATCTGTTTAAACCTTATTTTTTTTTTTAACCACTGCACAAAATTTGTAACATGACACCTTGTCAGCAATATCTTAAAACCTCATACAAAAAGCAGATCTCAAAGTATTGTAATCTTAAAGGATAGTTTATGGAAATTAATGACTGTTAAACAGAAAACAAATATTACAATATTAAGTAAAACAGTAGAACAGTGACAGTGTGATCTCCTGGGTTAAAAAAATCATATTAAAAGACTATTTTTTAAATGCCTATCACCTTTCATATACACTATATTATGATGAACATATTTCAAAGGACAGGGGGAAAAAAAACAACTTACTATCTGACACAGGCACTTGTGCTCATTGACCAATTTTTCCAGAGACAGACATTCAATCACATCAGCTTCTCCTAAAGCCCCTTCCTTGTCTTGCTTATTTGCCAACCTAGAGAGAAAAATGAAGCAGCTTTATAGCAAATATATAGTAACAGTCACTTAATATTTTGACCATGTTCTTCCATTCCGAAGTTTTAATCCCACTGATTACAGAACACACTGGTTTTAGAAGATACTGCAACATCGATTTCATCATTTTTCTTTTATTATTGCTTACTTAAATTATGTAAGAATTGGTCTATAAAGTGATGTCAGGTAAAGAGGAAGATTAAGAAAACTTATGTAATAGATAAATATGCCAACAACTACAATAAAAAACATAAACAGAACAAGAAGTGGACTACTTTCCACAGCCCACAACCTATCAATTCCAACTTTCACATTATGTTCCTATCTTCTTAAAAGACATAACATCGTGTTGTAAATGCCGGAAGTTTGAGCTTGTAATACTTCAGCTCGTCTGCATTTCCAGTGTGTGAATGTGTCCACATAAATGTGCAATTTATTGGAGATGGGACCATTTCTATGTCACGTGGCATAACACTGGGCATAAAAAACATTTTACTCAATTAGGAACAAATTAGTGAACACCAACAAAATTAAAAAACAAAACAAAACTCCTAAGGAAAGTTAAGAATTACAACAAAATACTACTATTTGCCTATCACATGGCAGAAGTCAAAAGCTTTAATAAAACACTGTGTTGATCAGGATTGGACAGACTCTTTATTACCTAGCTTCAATAAATTATCAACATCATGTCATTCTGATCAGCCATGTACTTTCCACTTTTTCCTCCTAAGTCATATCACTTCACCCAAAAATTTAAAAAAAAACATTACCGCAATACCACCATCACATCCAACAAAATTAACAGTAAGTCCTTAAAATTATTTAATTAATGTAATATCCCCTGATGTCTTTTTACAAGTATTATGCTCAAACAAGATGCATTGTTTGGATATTTAATAGCTCCCTTCCCCGATACCACCTCTTTTCCCCATGACATTTATCTGTAGAACAAAACAAGTCATTTTTCTACAGAATTTCCAACATTTGGGATTGGGCTGATATCTTCCTCATCAGGTCATTTTACATACATACTCCACAAGGGCATTATTCATGGATTTCAAAAATATATTTTATGCGTTTTCATCCATTACAATTACTATTCATGTTGAGGCTCAAAGTTTCCCATACTTGGTCAGTGAGAGTCCCCTTTAGATTGGCTCTTGTGTCCTTTTGATACAACTCCAATGGCTTTTGATAGCTTCTTTGCTCTCTCCTATGAAAAATGTCCTAGACCTGGAATCATTCATTTCTCTGAGAAGCCCTAGTTCCTTTCAGTGGGAAATAGTATTTTAAAGATCAAAATCTGAGTACTACAAATATTCACTGCTATTGATTTGTCATTGCTTCTAGATCCTTTCATTAGACAAAGATAGGAAATATGTAGGTTTTTTAGGGAAAAAAATGAGTTAGTATCGATTTTTCTATTTCAAATCAAATACTATCAAGTGTTTACTTAACTTCTTAGATTTTATTTGTATCTTTTTTCTGTTAAAAATTAGAGTTCCTAACACTAACATAATTGCTTTAGTCTATAAATATATGAGTTTCAACATAATAATATCAATATTATTACTAAAAATAAGACTACTAAATGTAGGCTAAGATCTCTTTGTGGTTATTTTTGTCTCTAAGATATTTCCCACTAGAGATACATAGTCAAAATACTGAGTTTTAAAACTTTTTAAAAAAATGCTTCTCTGTGTGGTTATGCCACCATCTAGATAGCAGCTAGATTCAATTGTTCCAGGCTTTTTAGAGATAATTTTTGTTGATGTCATTGTTTTTTTTTGGATTTAATCTTTAACACATTTATATGGTTCCAAATTCAAAACTATAAAAACAAACAAGGCCATTCAGAAAGAGCTCTCTTCCATCTCTTTGCCTTTCCTTCTCGCTATTCCCTCCATTCGCTTATAGGCAGCAATTTTGATAAGTTTCTAGTTTACCTCTCCATTGTTTCTTATTTAAAATATAAATAAGTATAGGTGGCTAATGGTATTTTAAAGACCACAATCTAGGCATTATGGATACTTACTGCTATTGCCTTGTCATTGCTTCTATACCAAAACCAAACCCAAACCTGTTTCCATCAAGGCAATTCCAACTCATAGAGACCCTATAAATATATTTGTATCTGTATCTATATCTATCTATTTATATTATATCTACTCTTTTTCTTCCTCAAAAGCTAGCATACTATAACAGTCTCCTACCATGACTTTTTAAAAACTGAACAGTAGATTTGCTCTGTAGTAGTATAAAGAAATCTTCTTTATTATTTTTTACACTTGCATAATGCCCCTATGTATAGATGTCCCATTATTTATTCAACCAGCCCTAAACTGAAAGACTTTGGAGGTTTTGCCAGTCTTTTGTTTTTACAAAGAGTGCTCTGATGAATAAGTATGTTAAAATTAATTTATTATTTTGGGAAACAGATTACAAGAAGTGGTGGGTCTACAAAGTCAAAGAATAAATGCAAATGTTATTTAGATAGCTATAGCAATGCTCCACTTCCTCCCCCAACCCTGAAAAAAATCATAACATTTCAGAAGAAAAAAAGGGGGGTGGGGAGTAAAGAAAATTTGGTGGACTGGAAGAAACTTCATTTCTAATTTTACTTATAAATATTTTCTCCCTTGGTAAAATTCTGAATTCTTAACACATATTGCTGAATAACTTTAATTCTTCTATACTGAAAACTATGAAAGAAATTATTTTAAAAGTAGTATGCATAGTAAAAAGAAAAGTGGGGTGGAAGGTTTAAAGACACGAGCTCTTTTCTGGCTGCTCTAGTTTTGAAATTCTAGAATATTTTATGAGCTAAGACCTGTGTGATTTTCTAAAATAGGAAAGAGTTTGATCATTTTAAAGTAAATGGATCCATAAAAATCTTTATACCAGCTCTTCTTATTTATCCCAAATTTTATATTTTTAGCAAGTTTTGAGAACTAAAGAAAACAAAACAATCTTTATTTAAATGCAAACTCATTTTTTGTGAGTAATGTATTTTATATATAATGTATGTCTGAACTGTAAAACCTGTGCCAAACACTCTAGGTAAGTAGTTTAACAAGGACTTCCTGTTACTGACTAGCTCCAACGGGCGTCTAACAGGCACAACCGGATTCTCCACGTGTGAAGTAAGCAATTTGTTCTTCTGGTAGGATATTAACAGCAAAAGGACAACTTTATCTTCAACTTATTTGACCTCATTATTTGGCTTTCGATTAAGCTAACGATATGAAAACTACTCAGAAATTAGCCTATGAACTTTGGAGATTTAAATAATTTGATCAAAACATTACATAAAATGATACTGAGATTTTCTCTCAAAGGTAGGACTCCAACACGGCAGGTGGAAAACCAACAAAAGGAACAAGACAAAAGGTAACTAAACCATTTCTTTTTTTTTACTTTTTAAGGTTAGATATCCATAGTCTGGAATCTGGTTATGCTGTGACACTTAAAAATAGCTCAACAGAGAATTAAAGTTATTTGTTTTTCTCATATTTGGACCTGGCTACAGGCAGCTGATTTGCTAATAAATGTTACTGATATACTGAAAGGGATTTGGGTTTAGAGCTCTTAGAAACAGATCACTGTGACAAAAATCCATGTTAAAGGAAAGAATATTTTTTTAAAGTCCTTAACAAAACAACTTCTCATTTTGGAAACACTAGAAAGCCAGGTCCTATAAAAACAAAGGTAAAATTCTTTCTTTTATAAGCAGTCTATAAATTAACCATACTGTGTATGCTTTAAGGAACACCTCTATGAAAAGCTTACGCCCAAATTTGACACATATGTAACCTTAAAGTTAAGATAACTTTCTATAAGATCTTAAACATCATTGTTTCTTCTCAGGATCTTTTAAATTAATTTTAGAAAATCAGAAAGTAATCTTATCGTAAAAGGACTGCTGCAAATTATCAAAGTACCCAGTCACCATTTTAATTGTTCAGCTATGGAAATGGAAATACTTAATATAAACATTACATTTGATCCAACATTTTGAAAAATTTAAGCCTGCACAGTTTAAATGCAACATAAACAAATATGCTTAATATTCAAAATTAAACAATAGCGGCTTAATCTAAATATACTTTATTTTTTGAGATTTCTTCAAGTTATTTTATAATTGTTACCATGTTAGAATTTAATAAATATCTCATTTCAAATCAAAATAACAGTGACATTTCATAAGTATTTTAAGGGCAGACCTAAAAGTTGGTTATGTAATACTTAGGATTAATAACATGTTATCTTCATGGCTCCAAAGTTTTAAATTTAACATAAAAACCATTTATACATATACATATATATGCCTACATATATAGCTCACTTTAATCAGATAAGTGAGATTTCAAAATTAAATAAGTCTTAACATTAAAAAAATTCTCAATATTTTATATCAACATTTTATAGTGTAATATTTATCTACACTAAATAAAAACAGAATAAAAAAAGCATTTAAAGACTGCATTACAAAAAATGTTAGACAAACTTGAAGATTAAATAGAATTTACAGTAATTTTTTATTTGTTTTCAGAAGTTACTCTTTTGTCTTTGCTTAAGTACCTGAAGAGGTTTATATTCCAATATGAGCAGCTTCTTTCACCTTCAACTAGGGAAATGTTGCAAATTGTGCACAAAAGCAAGAGTACTCTACTTCATGTTGGATAAAAACTGGTTATACTTCTTGAACTACATTACTTAATCATCACAGTAACTACTAAAAGGAATTTTTTACTTAAAAAAAAAAAAAACTATAAATCTATAAAGTACCTATCCCAGGACATATCTCTTAAAGTACTCAGTAATTTTTAGTTATATTTCTATCCCCAGAATGCTTCCTATCTATAATGGGGTGGAGAACCTTGTCTTTGAGTCATACAGGTTTGCTTTTCAATTCCCCAGAGCAAATTGTCAATATTGATTAACATATGTATAGAGTAGTATTCTAACTTTCTTTTT